AGTACTTTAATTATTATAAGTAATTACTATAAATTACTATAAATGTATATATCCTAATTGTATCCTAACATCGCGATGTGCAAGAAGGCCTATCCTATCTAATACATAAAAAATCTGAAAAAATGTTATTACACGGGTACAAAAAATATCCGTGGTCATTATGTTCATTAAAAATTCTATGTATACAACCAGTCACCCGTGCCGATTCGGACCTTTCGTTGTACGACATGGTTGAGTGACCAGAGGAACATAAATGCATGCGACTCACGATTAGAAGCGAAGAACGTTCTCATCGATACAATTGTAAGCCAGGGTAAGTTATTATGAAGCCTGTTAACAAATAGGAATCGTCAAATTACATGGTGAAAGTAATGACTGAACAAAATCTATAACAAAGTATAGAATATTATAATTTGCTCTTATTCTCTTCAATGCTAATTATTTAAAATATTTTAAATAATAAAAAATCTGTTTTATTAAACATAAAATTTTAATGATGACATTCAATTCAAAAATAAAAAATTTTTATTTATAACATTTTTAATTAGAACTTATTTATTAATTAATAGTAATTAAGGCAAAATGAAAAGAAATAAAACTAATTGAAATGCAAAAATTCTTACATGTTTAACTTTGAACTCGTTATATCCCTCCAGGTAAAGTTAAGACAAAAAATTGAAAGTTGTGAAGAACCTTTAAAAAAACATGTGAATTATAATTAAAACACTAAAAAACAATTAAAAACATTATAATTTGTAATTTATTTCTTAAAATGCATTATAAGTTGTTAAAAGAAATTAAAAAATAAAACTGTATTCAGAAATTTTAATAATATGATTTTTAAATGTCTGTTGTAGTTTGAAATAATTTGTAATAATCAAACATGGCGCGTTATTCTTGTCTGCGCAGTATGAAATAGACGCGATGCGCAGAAACATTGAGTGCGATAGCGTCTTTTTATATGTAGATTAAATATTAAATAAATATTTCGAATTAAAGAAAACTCAAACACAAAAATATATCTGCTTTCATTAGAATAAATTAAATGTTATTATACCTCCATAAAAAGTTATCGCATTTATCATTAGTGAACGTAACGTTTTCCTCAAGTCAACCAGTAATCTGAACAAAAAAATACCAAAATAAATATATTTATTGTATTATATATTAGAGGAATATAACATAAACGAATATAAAAACATACATTTTACGAACTTAACAGTAGCATGGAGATAATGATGAAAGTATTAAGCAGTTAATAAATCATACATTTTAATGCCATGATTTTCGAATAGACTAACCTTTCCCGCAATAGTTCGCGTCGCGAACTAAATTGATGGAGTGGGGACACAAATATGTAAGAATATCGGATTATGGAGAAACAAAGTATCCTGTAAAAATGTTTCCAATCATTTGTAAATAATGCGTTTGCGTGTTAATTTAATAACTTATAGAATATATGTAAATAGAATTATGTAATAACTTATAAAAAACTTTTATGAATATATTTATGTTCATTGAATTGAATATATGTTATGTATGTAATATTTCTTTTAACTAATACTTACTGTTCTGAATTGTAAATGTATTCAATAATGCAACCTCCAGAGCTATTTGGTTATAGTTTTTATTTCTAGATACTTGTTTTTACTATAGTTCAATTTCTTACTAAATAATACTGTGCTGTATCCAAATCTAATACTTTTACACTAAACTAATACACGAGGAATATCAATGTAATATATAATTGCAAATCTCGCCGTCTTATTGGCGCTATATATTTATCTAAACTAAAAATCATTGCGCGCGAATTTCGAATGAGAATATATTTTGATTTTTTCCGAGATTAGATGCGAACTTTCATATCATGTCTTTCATTTCATCCTTTTATTAATTAATGATAATAAATTCTTCGCAGCCTTAAGTCATTGATAGGAGCTAGTTTTAAAGTCATAAAATATTGATTCTCCTACAAGTTCCTTTCGATTTCGAACAACACTTCTTTCCGATCACGAATGCTGAATTGTTGCTTAAAAAGTGAACATTCCTTGCACCTTCTTCGAATTAACTGGCAAACAGGCACATAACTCTTTATCACGATAATATTTATTTTTATAATATTTTTATTTCGATAAAAATTTCATATATTTATCTTTTAAGTATTTTCGACATTCATTTGTATATTTCATTTATTTACATTTCACGTTTCCTGCTTATATTTTTTTGCGTGATTGCATATTCTGACTGACTTACATCTCTTTTGATTAATTTATGTACATAATAATCTTTTATGTAAATAGATTTAAGAAAAGTTTGGATTAGATTCAAATTTAATAAACTTCAATTCGGAAACATAAATGTAAACATTTCAGTCTAAATTGTTTAAAAAGATTGAAAGGAAAAATAAAAATGCATTGAATGTATAGGTTTGATTTTCAAATTAACAAAGTATTTGCCCAATTCTTATTTTATGGCAGTTTCCTTACATAAAAGATTATTGTTTTTCACGAAATGCATTATAAAACTAATAAAATTCCACCTGGTGCGTGCGTGCTATTTATACCTGATCAGTTTGGTTTAGTTTGACTTTCAAGACGGATTAGTCACGTTTTCTATTCAAAAGCGTAGTAATCAAAGACTGGAATAAAATTAACATTTAATACTATGGCATATATGTATGTATATAACATTTCATTGTTATATACATATATGTACAAATATTTGTATTGACATTTACACACATGTGAGCAATATATAGACATAATTTACATAAATGCAATAAAAGTTAGAAAGATATAATTTCCTGTACAGAAAGAAACCGCACAAAATTGGTCTTACAATGTAAAAAGTATATGAGAAAAGTAAGTAGTTAACTGTGTGTCTAAACAAAACTTATTTAGAGATACCTATTTACAATTATGTTTGTCAAAGTATTTACCTAGTATAAAGTAGTTATAGCAACATTACTTCGCTTATTTCACCATTATTTAAATAATTAAAGTTCCAACTGTACGAATAATGACACACACAAATAATTGTTTACTATCAATTAAGTAGTCATATTTATCATCAAAAAAATCGTGCATATGAGTTCATTTGTTCATAAAATCGAACAAATTATTGCACCTTCTTTGTATAAATAACATTTAAGCCTAAGAACATGCCTGAAAGTTCGATGTATATTAGAAAATACTAAGAAAAAGTACTTGATATTAAAGATATATTCTTTCAGGTCATATTCCGAGATAACTGCAGAAAATGAATGCGCCACAAATACTAAGAATAATCAATATGATGACGAACCAGAATGGTAGAGTGTCTGTAATAGAAACATTTTCAACCATGAAGATTGTCAAAACAATGCAGAAATATATAGAAATATTATTTAAATACTTACGTCTAAATGGTATACTATGTATACAAATTTTGTTATCCACAGAAATACTAATAACTGCAGTTTCAGTATTACTAGCAATGGTAGGACTTTCTAACTTAGTTGGTAAGAACTCTAGGCCAGTTACAAACATACTATGTGCACCAGGTACATGCAAAGCTCTCCTCAAGCTGAATGCGATGTATATGTCCACACTACCAGAGAACATTGTTCCAACTGCCACAAATTTTCCATCATCTGACACTGATAAAGCAGACAAAGTTTCTTTATAGGGCACTGCTTTAACGATACTTCCAGATTCCACATCCCACAATTGAAGAAAACTAATATTTTTTCCAACCACTGCATTGGAAAGTATAAAGATTTGAGCTTTAGATTTGTTCTCCTCCAGCTTTCTAAATCTGCATCTTTTATACATATATTTCAATCCATTTGGAGGTGACCAAGTTAAATCTTTGAACTTAGAACCATTGCTCACGTTCCATATAAATGCTTTGCCATCTTTTGCTATGCTTGCTATCAATGTACTACCTGGACTAAAATCTATGTCATCTATTTCTTTTGTATGAGCATTCAAATCATGTAATTTATGTAATTGTGGGAATTTCCATAATCTTATATGACCATCCATGCCACCAGTAGCCATGAATTTTCCATTTAGACTTATTCTAACAATCCTCTGAAGTGGTTCTTCTTCACTACAAAAATTCTTATTGTTTAGAACAATTATTTTAAAAGCAATTATTTTTTTATATTTCAATGAAATTATAGTTACCTGAAATCTGTTTGTACACTATCTGCTGGCTTTACTATTAATTGAAGCTTTTTACTTTTAATATTTGAGTTGTCATCTTTAATTTCCTCTATCCTCTCTTCAAGCACAATAGTTTCTTCCATTTTATCCATATTCTTTCTATGTCTAATGCCTTCTTTAGAAGTACTATTAGTTCCTTTAATAATCTCTCCATTCTTCATAGTTACTACTTTACTAGTTACATTGTACAATTGACAATGACTCTCTTGACCAGCTGCAATCCAGATTCTTTTTTGATCGTTATATGTTGTACAGTTCATAACAACACTCGGACCTGTTTCATGTCTGGTTACTTCTTCCGCAATGAACTGAGATCCATTATGAGACAATTCAAATATTTCCTGTCCATGAGGAATAATTCAATCCAAATAAATTACGAAATTAATCTCATTTTTAATGCATATAAGAATTATTTAAAAAAAAAAAATTCTTACAAAGCCATTAGCGACTCCAGTCTTCGAGGAACCTCCACCACCACCGACCAAGATGTGTCTCCCCGTCAGCATCTGCAGCGTATACAAAGGGAAATTTACCCTGGCCAAGAGGTCACAATTATTCCTCCTGGAAGGCATATTGTTTCGAACGATTAATATGCCACTATGAACGTTCCCGCTTTCGTCACCGTCTAGACAGGTGTTTACTGATAGCTACGGATCATGGTTATCAATAGGCGAAAAAATCGGGCTCCTATCGAATTTTCTAACTTTTTTTCACAGCGTACGACACAACCAATTAACACACGTTTAACACGAGTTTTTTACGAAAACAGACGGCAAACAGTGATGAACACGTATTCAATCTCGTCTTACTGTATTTCTTAAATGCACCACAAGATGACTATAGTGTGATCTTCTACATAGCTAATTCAATGTTGTGAAATTCTGCGATTGCGAACAATATGGTTGTTATACGTTATTTTCAGGTCCCAAAGAGACAATTGGGTAAATTTTGATATTTCATTTTATTTTTAATCATATTTATGAAATTTGTTACATCTAAGGCCAATTATGATATGAGACATATTAATGTTTTGATTTTTTTGTCATATTTAATAAGAATTTCGATGTTTTACGTTGTAATTGAAACTTAGTTAAACGAAGTTATACGATGAAAAGAGTTTGATTTTGATTTTAAGATTTCCTGAGGTCATCTTTATCTAGTCAACAACAAAGAACATTTACCGACACCGCATCCGAAGGGAAGGTATGCTATGTTGTACCTATTTAAGTTAATGTTCATTGTGTTATATTATATAACGTGAACATGCAATGATCTGTGTTATTTTTTCTTTTAGAAAAAAGGTGGTCCCCTGGCTGATCAGGACCGTATCTTCACAAATTTGTATGGCAGACATGAGTGGAGATTAAAGGGTGCTATAAAAAGAGGCAATTGGTATAAAACCAAGGAAATCATTGAAAAGGGTCCAGATTGGATCATCAATGAGATTAAGATATCTGGTCTAAGAGGTCGTGGAGGTGCAGCTTTTCCATCTGGCATAAAATGGTCTTATATGAACAAGTCTTCAGATGGAAAACCAAAATATTTGGTAGTTAATGGAGATGAGGGTGAACCTGGTACCTGCAAAGATCGTGAAATTCTACGTCATGATCCTCACAAATTGTTAGAAGGTTGCTTGATTGCTGGCCATGCAATGGGAGCTTGTGCTGCTTACATCTACATTCGTGGTGAATTTTATAATGAAGCATCAAGTATGCAAATTGCTATTGCAGAAGCTTACCAAGCAGGTTTGATTGGCAAGAATGCCTGTGGTTCTGGCTATGATTTTGATGTCTTTGTCCAAAGAGGTGCAGGAGCATACATTTGTGGAGAAGAAACTGCTCTTATAGAATCTATCGAAGGAAAACAAGGAAAGCCTCGGTTAAAACCACCATTCCCAGCTGAGGTTGGATTATTTGGGTGTCCTACTACTGTTACAAATGTCGAAACCGTCGCAGTATCTCCCGTATTTATCAATGTTCAGAAAATAGACATATGTAATTCTAAAATAAAAATTTTGATATACATATATATATATAGACTATATGCCGACGAGGCGGAGCATGGTTTGCATCACTTGGCCGTCCACGTAATCATGGGACTAAATTATTTAACATCTCAGGGCATGTGAACAATCCATGCACTGTGGAAGAAGAAGTGTCCATTCCTCTAAAAGAGCTTATTGAAAGACATGCTGGAGGAGTAATTGGTGGATGGGATAATTTGCTAGGTGTGATTCCTGGTGGATCTTCCACTCCCGTTATTCCTAAAAGGTATTTATGTAATTGTAAGTCCAGAAATTTAACTTTTATTAAATACTCAAATGATTTTTCAGCGTGTGCGATACTGTATTATTGGACTTCGATGATCTTGTCAGAGTGAAGAGTGCCTTTGGTACTGCAGCTGTGATCGTCATGAACAAACAGACTGATATTATTAAAGCTATCACTCGTCTGGTCAGTTTCTATAAGCATGAATCTTGTGGTCAGTGTAGTCCTTGCCGTGAAGGAATAAGTTGGATGTACAAAATCATGAGAAGGTACAAGAGTCTATGGATTTATTTATTCTTTTTATCTTAATTTAAAGAAACAAATTATACATAATCATATTTAGATTTGTCCAAGGGCAAGCAGAAATACACGAAATAGATATGCTGTGGGAATTAACCAAACAGATTGAAAAACATACTATTTGCTTTTTAGCGGATTGTACTGCATGGCCAGTTCAGGGATTGATTAGGCATTTCAGACCAGAAATAGAAGCACGCATTAAGCAACGCACAAAAGCAACATCCAATTAAACTGAAGGTATAAAAATTTAATACTAGTAAACGTTCTGATACTGATGAACAATGAAATATGTAGCTACAAGTGTTAATGGTTAGACGCAAGACAACTGTATTCGGTCGCATGCTTTTGTTTATTGCCGAAATTTTCTATGTACTGGTGAGGGACTGAATAACTTGGTTAAAACTTCATTTGCTTTAATGCGTCAATAATCTGATTGCTAATGACTAAACTTGAACTTCTCAATTTTTAATGATTTAGCAAATAAAATAAAAACATAATTTGTTTGTATCAATAAAAAAGCAAATATCATTTTTTTAAGATAATTCGATTCTTTTTTGTATTGTGTCATTCGAGAAAAACTAATTTTCTCATATAATTAGGTAAATAAATATGCAGTTACATCTAATATAAATAGATGTTTTAAGTTTTAAATTTTATAAAATTTGTGCATAAAAGACACAGTATGAACAAAAAAATACTTTGTCATTCCTTATCTTTCGTACAATAGATTTTAAAATTAAGATTAAAATATCTCCTAAACTAATAATTCTTTGGCATACGTAGGTTAATACTTTCTTTTAGAGAATATTGTATTACATCGATTAATGAACGGTTCGTCATCCATGACGAAGGAATATGATTTTTATTCTGGCGAAGGAATACAACCTGAAGAATTTGAGGCTGGATAAACTAACCAGCAGTATTCTCATTTTTGGTAGACTGCCGAAGGCGAAGCAGATGCAGGTTCGTTTTATGAATGGTGACATGCATGGGGATCTTGCACAGTCCATGGGATTTTCAATACATTCTGCTGAAGATCATAGAGAAGTGAAGTTGAAATATTGGGAAACGCTGCGTAAGAAAAAAAAAACATGTCAGATAATATTTTTATAGATATTCATGAGAGATCATAATATAGACTTCTTAACTTGATAGAAGTTTTAAAATTAGAATTATCGACTTATATCAGAAAAATTAAAGCCCACAATAGTAAGAAATATTATATTTTAATCTTAATCTTAAATCCTTTTAATTTAGATATGAAAGAACACATTTCGTTGAGCAATGATAAAGTTCTATCGTCTGATCTAGACAAGGAGGAACAGCAACAGAAACAATCACTGAAGATGACAGTAGACACGCAGATTGAATTCGGAATTGCTTATTGTCTCCGATCAGATTTTAGTTTTATGAATAACAAGATAATGGTAGATTGCGAATGCAAAGTGAAGTACAGATACCCGAAATTATCCGATTTGATCATGTATCTAATTTTCTTAGGAGAGTGAAAGAAAATCGTGAAACAATCTGATTAGTCTCATTTCAAAATGTGAAGTTTTATTTTATGTTCGTTTTTATACCTTTATTTTATGTTCGTTTTTATCAAAGATAAGATATTTTTATATCATGTAACAGGTGAGGAAGTAAAAATTTTTTTCGAAAATTATGATTTCAAACATAAAATCATTATAAAAAATTTTCATAATTAAATCCATCATAATTATTAAAAAAGAAAACTTATATTTTCTATATTTTTATATATTTATTTACTTTTTTTTTATTTATGAAATAATCTTGAAATATAAAAAAATAATGCATATTTTGACTAAAATTTATGCCTTCTAAGGAATTAAATTCAACAGTTTGTCTTTATAATAATTAAATTAATTTTTACGGCATTAAAAAACTTGTAAAAACAATAAAATTTCAATTTTAAAATTCTGTGTTTGAATTTTCATAATGAACCTTTGATATCAAAAACGATCTATGGTTAAATTAGGAAATTAGATTCTTGTCGAGTTTCCCAATTTTTCTTATACGACATAATTACGGGACTCGATTTACACATGTTCATCACAAATTATTTACGTCTTCAATCTCGTGCTATTCCATTTCGTAATTTCATCACAAGATGTCTATAGTGTACTCTTCTAAATAGACAGCTCGATGCTGTGAACGTTTGCGAAGTCGCAAACAGTAAAATGGCTGGTGCCATTGTACGCAATTTTCAGGTCCCAAGGAGACAATTGGGTAAGTTTTGATAGTATTTTGTTTTGTTCATTCAAGGCCAACTATGTTATATTTAAAAGACACTGATCGTTTAATGTTTTTCATATTCAATAAAAGTGTTAAAAATTTTACGTTCTATGACGCAAATAACGAATAATAACAAGGTTATGTAATGAAAAAAATTCGATTTTGATTTTGAGGTTTCCTTGGCTCATCATTAAGTGGCCAGCAACAAAGAACATTTGCTGATGCTGCGCCTGAAGGAAAAGTACGTCTATGTCATTCGTATTTTAATTAATGTTCATTGCGTGATACTATATTGTACAATGTAAATGATGTATAGTATTTATTTATTTATTTTTTTTTTAGAAAAAAGGTAGTCCTCTGGCTGATCAGGACCGTATCTTCACAAATTTATATGGCAGACATGATTGGAGGTTAAAGGGTGCTCAGAAAAGAGGGGATTGGTACAAGACCAAAGAAATCATTGAAAAGGGTGCAGACTGGATTATCAATGAGATCAAAATATCTGGTCTAAGAGGTCGCGGAGGTGCAGGTTTCCCATCTGGAATGAAATGGTCTTTCATGAACAAGCCCTCAGATGGAAGACCAAAATATTTGGTAGTTAACGGAGACGAGGGTGAACCTGGTACCTGCAAAGATCGTGAAATTTTACGTCATGATCCTCACAAATTGGTCGAAGGTTGCTTGATTGCTGGCCGTGCAATGGGAGCTTGTGCTGCTTATATTTACATCCGTGGTGAATTTTATAATGAAGCATCAAATATGCAAGTTGCTATCGCAGAAGCTTACCAAGCAGGTTTGATTGGCAAGAATGCCTGTGGTTCTGGCTATGATTTTGACATCTTTGTTCAAAGAGGAGCAGGAGCATACATTTGCGGTGAGGAAACTGCTCTGATAGAATCTATTGAAGGAAAACAGGGAAAGCCTAGGCTAAAGCCACCTTTCCCAGCTGATGTTGGATTATTTGGATGCCCTACTACTGTTACAAATGTTGAAACCGTTGCAGTAGCTCCTGTACATATTTACCATATACATAATGATATCACAAAATAGATATATGTCGAAAATTTTAATTCTAAAATTAAAACTTTGATATATAGACTATATGCCGACGAGGTGGAGCGTGGTTTGCGTCATTCGGCCGTCCACGTAATCATGGAACTAAATTATTTAACATCTCGGGACACGTGAACAATCCATGCACTGTGGAAGAAGAAATGTCCATTCCTCTGAAAGAACTTATTGAAAGACACGCTGGAGGAGTAATTGGAGGATGGGATAATTTGCTGGGTGTGATTCCTGGTGGATCTTCCACTCCTATCATTCCTAAAAGGTATTTATATGATTATAAATTGAAAAATTTTTAT